CCTGGCCAACATTAGTTACATGCTGAAGGATTGCTGGACGCAAGGTCACCAGGGGCCAAAAGGTAATAAATCATCAATGCCTGACGATTTCAAAGCGACCCAATACCATCCGTATTTGGGCAGGAGGTTCTCTCCTGGGGGTCTCCACACGTCAGAGCTCCACACCTTTTGCACCCTTTAACGTGGATGGCCTTCAACTCCCAGAATCCCCCGGGCTGCCTGCTGTAAAGTACCCACCCAGGGAAAAGAGTCAGTCAAGAGTCCGTCCACCAGCAGCCAATCTCGGTGGGGCCAGAGCGGTGCCTTCCTCCCCCGCCACAATCCAGCTGGCATTTATGAGTCAGAACACTCCGTAAGGCGTCGCCATGGGGACCCAGAACCATGCAAAATCCAGCCCGGATCCTGCCAGCCACAGAAAGCCGCCAGCTTTCGGTCCCGGTGGCTTCCCCTGTCCAGATCCAGAATAAAAGTGCTTTGCTGCAGGTGCCGCCCCCGAAGCCAGCAGGGGCTGCCAGCCAGAGGCCCCCAGAAATGTCCTTCACTGGAGCTCAGTGGATTCTCCCACCCGTCCCCAGACCTCCAAGGACAGACAGCTGAATCCCTCGACTCCGGGGCAGGCGGGGTCAGGTTTCTGGCTGCTATTTTGGGAGCAGGGTAACAATATTTCCGGTGCTCCGGCAGCCTCCCCATTGCCAGCCCATTCCCCAGGCTGAAATCAAGGCAGGGATGGGCCAGGCGCCACAATGGGCCGACAAGCAGAGGGCTCCTAAGCATGTGCAGAATGCACTGCCCAGTCACTCGGAGGCCCTTGTCCAGCTGAATGCAGCCAACAAACTCAGCTCATTTTGTGCCTGTGCTGCTTTCAGCGGCCAATTTCTCAGAAGGGAGTCTAACCTAGCCCCCTGACCCATTTCTTCCAGGATCGAAGGAATCCTTACTTGGACCACACCTGCAATTTTAGGGTGGCCGTTCTCCCAGGTTCCACACCCCTGCCATTTCACCTTTCCCTCTTTATTATTAATTCTGTTTATGGCCTGGCTTGGATACGCTTGAAAGGGATTTTTTGGGGAGAGGGGAGAACTGGAAAATGACCTTTTCTAGGCTAAATCCTAGAAGCTGGGTGAGGCCAGTGGCCCGGGGTGGGTCTGACCCCTCTCCATACCTCAATACGCACCATCAAATAATGCACCAGCCAGCAAAGCGACAGAGTCTGCAGGGGCTGTTTCTCTCAAGGTTTAATCCCCCACCCCAGCCTTTCCAGCACACCAAACTGGTCCCCCCACCTCTCTGACAGTCCGAGAGCTTTGAGCCCACTGGGCTGTTGCAAAATTACGGCTTGTCAAGAAAGCAGAAAACAGAACCTCAGATTTTGCAGGGTCACCCAGGAAACTAGATGTGTGGTACAAAACGGGTGGGTGGGGTGATGATACCAGGGATCCTAAAATGGAATCCAAAATAAATGGGGGCTATCTAGCATGGAATTTAGTTATATTGCTTGCGCCAGGAGGCAGACTTACCACCACCGCCCTCTCTCCCTTCCCTTTTTGTCAAAAGCCACAATAGGAGGTGTCATGCTAGACACCTCAGCAGAGGCGGCCAGGCTGCAGATTCCAGTCCCCTCAGGCCTTTGTGGCTACTAGGAAAATGTGTTTATTTAGAAAATGCTCATGGCTGCCAGTGCAAAATAATTCTGGATGGCTAAAAACCAAAAACCAAGGAAAACACAGCACAATATGACGCCCCCCCCCCCCACAAACTGAACAAAAGGTGAAAAATAATAATACAATCATCAAGACATTGTATAACTAACCCACAACAGAAAAGCACCTCAATTGGGCTCCACTGAACATCCCGGCCCTGATACCTGGGGGAGAGCCAGGCCTTGGAACAAATAGTTGTTTTTTTTGTGGGGGGGTGTCATATAGAGCAGGTGCCAAGACAGGGAAGGATGGTTTGCAGAGGAAACAAGGCACGCCAACCCTGCAAGACGGCCAGTCTTCATTAAGAAGAGACCCCCCCAACACAAAGACCCTGGTGCCTAAACCCCCTCCTCTCCACCAAAGGGCCTTTGCCATGTTGCGGCGGTCTCCTCACAGGCCAGGCCCCCCTGTAGCCCGAAGGCTCCGAGGAGGAGGAGGAGGAGGAGGAGGACTCTGACCCAGGGGACAGATTGGCCACCATGCAAACGTGCGCAGCTCCCCAACTCCGCGGCTTAAACAAATAGAGGCAGACTTTGCCATGAAAAATCGGGCAGACTTTCAGCCCCTTCCTCATTTCAACAAGGCGGCGGCTTTTGCACCCAGCCGGGAAAACCCCCGCCTTTCCAAGGCCCCCTTTCCCTTCCAAGACCCCTGCCCTTCCATGAGAGCCTCCCCTTCCAAGAGCCTTTCCCAAGACCCCCTGCCAGATCGCCTCCCTTTCCAAGACCCCCTCCCCTTCCAAGACCCCTCCCCTTCCAGGAGCCTTCCTCTTCCCCCTCCCCGTGCAAGACGTCCTCCTCCTCGACCCCCTCCCGCTCTACGACTCCCTCCCCTTCACCCCCAAAGCCCCCCTGCGCACACCTTCCGAAGCGCCGCGCTCCTACCTTCAACCGCCCGCAGCGAAGCGCGCAGGACCTCGGCCCGAGACAGAACGCCACCGAAAGCTCCGCCCCTCCTCCCCGAGCAACCAATGGCAGCGCGCCGGCCGCTCCCAACGTTCGGTTTCCGAACGCCGAGTATCTTCCGCGGCTTCCGCTTCCCCGGAACTGCGCCGCCTTAAAGGGGCCGCGCGCCTCACTTCGGGCAGGTGTGCAGGTGGTCAGCGCTGAGCGAGGAGGCTCCTCTCTACCCGAGTCCGGGCATAGAAGCGGACCAAAAAAATCTTGGACGGCACTTAATTCCCTTCTTTTTTAAAAAAATCCTCCCTTTCTTTTTATAGCATGCATTTAATTGTTAAAAAGACACACAGGTAGATCTCTCCTTACAATAGTTCGTTTAGTGGCCGCTGGAACACCGGCACTCAAAAAAGTGACCTGTGACCATTTCTCACACTGACCAACCATTGCAGCGTGCGTGTGTGTGTGTGTTACGAGGGGTTCAGCCAGATTCGCTTAAAAACCACCGTGCTACTAATCTAACCACGACCTAGAGCGACTCGCTTTACAACTGTGGTCATAAAAACCCCCTCCCCCATAATCAAACGCCTGGTTTAGCAGCGGCAAGGCGGGGGGGGCCCCGGCTCCCTGGTGGTCGTAAGTCGAGGACTGCTCGGGCTTACGCTCCAGGGAGGGGTTAACGAGGGGGCGTGTCCTCGCGAGGCCCCGCCCCGCCCCCCCGCCCCTCTCCGTCCGCGGAAAGAGCCGCCGCCGCCGCTTCCCCGGCCGCTTCCCCGCCCGCCGCTCCCATGGCCTCCACCGGGGTGCTGCCCTTCATCCGCGGCGTCGATCTCAGCGGGAACGACTTCAAGGTGAGCCGGGCCCCGGGAAGGCGGGCGGGCGGGCGGGCTGAGCTGGGCTGGGTTCAGCCCCTCCGCGGAGCCCCGGCCGGGCAGGGCTGGATCGTGGAGCCAGTCAATGCCCAGCCCTCTGTCCGGCGGACTCCGACTCCCCTCGTCCCCCGCCGCCGCCGCCGCCGCCGGGGAGGGTGGGAGTCGGGATTCCCCCGGCCCCGCGATTCAAGCCGCCGCGAAACTTGGGAGGGGGCGTCCCGGGGCTCTGAAGTCGCTTCAAGACGGGGGAGACCCCGGCCTGACCCGGGTTACGCGGAAGAGCCCGGCGGCCGCAGGAGGTTTTTTTTGGGGGGGCGGAATAGATGCAGTTTCGAAAGTAAAATAAAAGTTTGGGGTATGTATGTATATGTTTGTGTGTGTGTGTGTGTATCAATATGATATGATATGGTATATATTCTGAGAGTTTACACACACACACACATACATGTATATAATATAATAATATATATGCTCTTCTCCACCCTGATTTGCTTGGCTAAGCTGGCTTTTCCCCTGGATTTAAATACATAACATTAAAACTGTTTAGAGAAAGAGGTAAGTGACATTTCCGGTCTAACCCCTGGGGGAATTTCTCAACCTCAGTGACTTTTTCAGACTTTTCCATTCAGGCCCGCTGGGGGAATTCTGGGAGTTGAAGTCCACCCACCTGAAAAGTCGCCACACCGATTTCACCCAACGCCTCTCAAAATCCCCAGAATCAGATCGGAGGGTGGCTGCCTGCGTCACCCTGCAGCAAATTTTGCCCTGTAGGGTAGACTGCTCCTGTCCTTGCAGCAGGGGGTCTTCAAACTTGGCAGCTTGAATACTGATGGACTTCAACTCCCAGAATTCCTCCTCCAGCCATGTTAGCACTGGGATTCTGGGGGTTGAAGTCCACAAGTCTTAAACTTGCCAAGTTTGAAGACCCTTGGATTAGACAGACAGACAGATTAGGTAGGTAGGTAGGTAG